AAATACATTAGCATAGTATATACATACAGAGGAGTCGGAGTCGGGGAGTCGGAGTCGGAAGATTTAGAAACTGAGGAGTCGGAGTCGGAGCATTTATCTACCGACTCCACAGCCCTGCAACTTTCACTGCCAAATTTTAAATTATACCATCAGTGTTTTCAACTTCAGTCTCTTTCAACATGGATGAATCAAATGGCACTAACTTCTTGGTGAGAGATAGATGAAGGTATTTTAACTCCAATGAGGATGCAAGATTTATTATTTTTTAATATTTCTATTAGTAAATCAAGGCTTAGGTTTGGTCCAATTATTTCCTACACTCTGGCTAATTTAAGAATATTAAATATAAGCAGCCCAGGCATATTCACATATGTCTATGGCATAATCAATAATCTTGGTCCTCTAAAGGTATCTTTACACTGGGTGACATTTGGGGTCCTAATGGCATTGCAAGCTTTCAGGAGCTACAGTATGTCAACACTTTCATATACCTGGTACATCATTCTTCTTATATCTGCAGCTTAAGTCTGCTATTTGTGCTTATGATAGAACTACACCCTGTTATAGAACGTATTTCAAAATCACCTTTTAGAGGCTGATTAAGTGTGTGAGCTAATCCTTATTTGCGAAACCTGCTCCGAGTAGGTTTGACGATTAGGATGTGCTGCTATGACAACACATCTAGCAAGAGTTTAGAAAAAAGTGACAAAACCTGGATCATGTCAAATCGTTAACAATTTCATCAGGCTAAACGAGTAATCCACATACGAAAAACACCCCCCAGGTCTGTTTGTTTGTTTGTTTAATGCTTATTTATTGTATTTATTTTGTTTTATTGTTATTAATTTGTCTATTGTTTTGATGTTGTGACACTGGAGAGGATGAACTTTTAAATGTTGTTGCTGTGGAAACAACAATGACAATAAGGCATCTGACATCTAGATAGGCAGGCATAGCATATGATGTTGATGAAGCCCTTTGGCCTGAGCAAGCCCAGCAACAGAATGTAGAGTGAATTCTTTGTGCTATTATTTTGTAGTAGTAAATGTATAACCATTTCACAGTCTTTGTTTTATGGCATGTATTTTTTTTTGGGAAGTTTAGTTCTGTATGTGTTCAAGAAAACTCATAACTGACTGAAGCAAGATTTGGCTTATTTGCATTCCTTCTACATTCACAATAGACATACACATGTAGACTTCCTTGTACAGGTTTAATCAATTCATCAGCATCGTTGCTTTGCCACATTGTTTTCAGCTGATTGTGCCATTGTTATAGTGACAGAAATAGTGTATATATATTTGATAAACTATATTGCCAAAAGTATTGGGACAACTGCCTTTACAAACACATGAATTTTAATGACATTCCATTCTTAATACATATGCTTCAATATGGAGTTGGCCCACCCGTTGCAGCTATAACAGCTTCAACTCTTCTGGGAAGGCTGTCCACAAGGTTCAGGAGTGTGTTTATGGGAATTTTTGACCATTCTTCCCGGAGAGCATTTGTGAGGTCAGGCACTGATGTTGGATGAGAAGGTCTGGCTCAAGTTCCTCCACACCAGACTCGCTCATCCTTGTCCTTATGGACCTTGCATTGTGCACTGGTGTGCAGTCATGTTGAAACAGGAAGGGGCCATCCCCAAACTGTTCCTACAAAGTTAGGAGCATGAAATTGTCCAAAATGGCTTTGAATGCTGCAGCATTAAGAGTTGCTTTCACTGGAACTAAGGGGCCAACCCATGAAAAACAACCCCACACCATAATCCCCCCTCCACCAAACTTTACACTTGGCACAATGCATTCAGGCAAATACCCTTCTGGCAACCATCAAACCCAGACTCGACCATCGGATTGCCAGACAGAGAAACGTGATTTCTCACTCCAGAGAACACGTCTCCACTGCTCTAGAATCCAGTGGTGGCATGCTTCACACTAGAGACCTGCACTCCCACGGGAGTACCGCGGGACCCAACGCACCGAGTGCGGCGCAGGACAAGATTTGATGGGTGGATGCGGGTGCGGGCGGTAAGGTCCTCATGTACGTGCGGGTTGCGGAAGAATAGAATTAATCGCGGGACTCCCGCAAAATGGAATTATCTTAAAATTAATTTATTAAAAACAATAATTTATCTACTGCACAAAAGCAACAAGAACGACTAAATTAAAATAATAACAATTTACAGGCGAATCGTCTACAGAAACTACAATTGCCGCGGTCTGAGTGCCGGGGGACGTAACCGGACACCCTAAGAAGGAATCAGCCTGGTGCTTGGACGGGATGGCATTTTCTGAAAAGCTCCTCGTTCGTGTCCATGTTCATCATTCCATTTAATTAAACTCAAATAAACATATTTGTTTATTTTCCGTTTCTTTTTTATATATACTCAAAAGGAAAGCAAGTGACAAATAACAGAGTAGCGGGAAAAAGCGGTAAAAATAAAACTACTTATATGTTTACCTGCGGGATTTTGCGGGCGGGAGCGGGACAAAACTTGAATACTGAATAATATATATTTTTTTGCGGGAGCGGGCGGGAGCGAGACAGAATATTGCGGGAGCGGGCAGGAGCGGGACTGAAAAATCCGTCCCGCGCAGGTCTCTACTTCACACCACTTCATCCAATGCTTTGCATCGCACTTGGTGATGTAAGGCTTGATTGCAGCTGCTCAGCCATGGAAAGCCATTCCATGAAGTTCTCTACACTCCCGTTTAATATCATGAAGGTTCCGGTGCTGTGGAAGACATCATGTCTAGTCCCTGTCCCGAAAAAGGCACG